ATTATCTAAATAGCGCAGAATTAGATCGCGCGCTTTTTCGGGAAGAATAGGAGACGATCCTAACCGCTCCTCTTACATCAAAGTTTCGACGCGCATTTCTCAATAAATAAAGATTTTCACATCTATAAAATATTGACTCGAAATTCTTGTTTACCGGGAAACAGCCTGCAGAAGTATATTGACCTAAAAATTCGCGTCGACCTCTTCCGCGCGGTAAAAGCCTGACACGATCCGCTCCAACTCCCCTTATCTCTCGCGCGCGCGACGATTATCTCGTTCGTTGTGTAAATTATCTACTCCTCCGCGGCTGCACCGCGGCTATACCTTCTGCACTTGAAACGGTCGAGGAACGGGCGTGCGGCGTGCGATCGGACGTCGGAGAGAGAAAGAATCGGCGTGGCGAAAGGCGCGGCGACGATGCTCGGCTGCGTGATACAGTCGTGATACGCGACCGATACGGTATATCGGCGTGCCGCCCCCCCGGCGAGTCGCACTTTTTGAAAGTAATAAACGTGCCGCCAGCAGCCAGCTTCCGTCCGTTCGACGGTATATCTCCCGACGTGATGTGACGTTCGCGTCAGTTCGCATATCGCGGGTCGCACGTCGCACGCAGAAACGTCGGTATGGCACGGTAGGGCGCGCGTGCATATCTCCTTCTCTTTTTCGTCGGGGGCGTTTCGTTTCAGGGTCCACGTTTCACGGCCCCCCTTCGCGAGGAGCATCTTCAGCGTCTCTCCGCGTCCGCGCGTTTCATGGGGAGTTACGATTACGGGGCTTCGGGCTTCGCCGATCGCAGCTTAACGTAATCACGCTGCTCTCCCCCGCCCCTCTCCGCCTCCTCCTCCTCCTCACAGTCCTCACCCCCCTCGGGCCGGAGGTGTGCTGACACTGCTGACTCGTCGATAAACAAGGAGCCGCGCGCGCGCCGACGTCACCGCCAGGAAACGCGCGCGATGCGTGTCCCGGCGCCGCGAGCGCAACACCCGAAGGTCTCGTGAAGGATGTCCAGGTGTCAGTGATTGATAATTGATACCCGCGAGACGCGCGAGGAACGCGTTAACGGGGAGCGCGTAGATAGATTCGGGGAAGGAAGGTATGGAGGGTGCCAACGGTCAGCTGCAGACCAAGTATCAGAAAATCGCCACGGAATACTCAAAAGTGAGCCACCTCTCTCGTATAAGACGTAAAGGCAGATTTTTGTTGTATTTACGATAGGAGAGCGCGCCGGCCCCTCGCTCTGTCCGTTTTGCTTATTTAATGTATCCTAAAAGGGGGAATGACCATTTGCAGATTCGTGCGCAAGCGAACGTTCTGAAGAAGGCTGTGATAGAGGA